ACTGCACAGGGAGAGTATTTATTGGAGACTGAACAAAGACAGGACTAATGAGTTGATTGGGAGCAGGTGTGAACAGAGGCTTCTAGAAGGAGCTAGGAAAAAGGAGACCAACACCAGAGGGCAAGCAAAGAAAAACCTAAGAACTCAAATATATCCAGAAAACACCAATAAAGCTAGAAAGCAATAGCCTAGTAAACTAGCCCCACCTGCCAGCGGCCAAAATCATTTTTGCCTGCGAGTTTGGTCTAGCCTCGATCAACGCCCCAGGCCCTAGAACTGGCGGGCTAATCACTTGCAATGTGTTTTGAAAATCTGGATGCAAAGCGAGAGGGGTTTTAAGGGCGGGACGACAAAGCTGTGTGACGCTGCAGAAAGCACAACAAGGAAGATGGCAACAACAATTGAACAGTTCTTGTTTGACTCAGCTTTGGAATCACTTTTGGAAGGATTAGACTTGGGGTTTTTTCATTGAAACGTGAGCAGGAAGAGGCTCTACGCTCATTCATTTTTAAGAAGGACGTATTCAACGTTTTACCAACAGGCTGTTTGTTTACACTCCCCCACCAGCTTTCTGTTGCACTTACTACGTCACAGTCAGTGGCACTCATTAGTCAGAGCGTTGGCCAGTAGGCACAAGCATGAAAAACAACGGGTTGTTCTCATCAACAATCTTCCGATGTCTCATTCATTGGGGGCCGGACTAAATAACACATTTAATCTCACATTTAGTCTGGTTTATCCATCTTAGAAAACAAAGAAAAACATGGATCAACGTGAAACTGAAAACTCACCAAAAACTTAACAGAATCAAGAATGTGACATCTAGAAGGAGTTAGGGAAAAGGCGACCAACACAAGAGAGCAAGAGAGGGCAAGCAAAGAAAAACCTAAGAACTCAAATATATCCAGAAAACATCAATAAAGCAAGAAAACTGAGAAAAACATGGATCAATGTGAAACTGAAAATACAGAAAACTTAACAGAACCAGGACCGTGACAAAATCAGACACAGTAAAATTTGTGATGTTTAGTTCTATTGGAAACAGGTTCTTTTAACATTAATACCAAAAGGTTGCATGTGGATCTGATGATTAGGGCTAATCTTGGTTTGTTTTAGATGTGTATTTTAAAGCAGATCTTGCTTCTCAAACCCATGACAGGTTAAAAAGCACTAAGATGACTCTCACAGTATTTTTAAATCTTATCTAGCCTTTATAAATAATATATTCACTGGATTGTGGTGTACAAAAGGAGAACAGCACTCGATGATAAGTTTTCTTAGACTGTCACTGATACTACTCATGTACAAAACAGGATGTGACGGCTTTGATCAACCGACAAAAATGAGATCAAAAATCTGATTACATTTTATTCTTCTCAACAAGAATGATGCTTCCTTTTTGCGTTTTTTAAATCTTCATTTAGGCTGTGTAACTTACCTCAAACATAGAGATAAATAATGGTTTGACTGATTAGACGAAAAGTTTTTTTTTTTTTTACATTATTATTATTATTATTGTGTTAAAAGGTCCAAGTATCATTTTTGCAATTTAAACTTGTGCGATGAGCTATCTTTGCTTGTATAATAGATTTCAAAATATTTTAGGCGACCTTTATTAATTAGAAGAAAGTGGGAGTGTTGGCCTAGTGGTTAGAGCAGTGCGCTTGTGCTGTGAGAAGGTTGCAAGTACCCGGTTTGATCCCCACAAGCCTCCACTCTGGCTCTCTGAGCAAGAACTTTAACCCGACACTGCTCCCCAAAGGGGATGGGTTAAATGCAGAGAAAAAGTTATCCAGTGTGAGACCAATAAAGTTCAATATTATTATTATGAAACCAATATTTCAACCATTTTAACAAAAAAAATCACCTTTAAGCCTTAACATTCATTTGTTTAACATTCACTTGTTTCTCTGTTCTACTTATATTTCTTCACCTCTAGGTCTGCCTGTCAAGATGAACTTCCCCTTCAGCCATCTTGCCCAGACCCCAATAAAGTCAACTTCACCCCCCATGGGGGCTCTGCTTTCTGCCCAGTCAGCCTCTTAAAACCTCTGCTGCCCTCCATGGACCTCCTTTTTCGCGGTCTTTCTGTGTCTCCCATCACTGGTTGCTCCGGCCAAGCCTCTCCTACCAGGAATCTGGGCATGCAGTAGGTGGATATCAGAACAGTGTCTCTGAGGACTACAGAGAAATGCACTGTCAGAACCTGGAACACTTGATAATGACTTGACTGATAATGAATGCAGACTCACAATTAAGTGTCTGATCCCTGTTGGCCCATTGACCATTACCATCTGACTGTCGGTGTTTGTTTCTGCAACGTTTTTGGATAATGTGGCTTAAAGTTAACTTGGTTTATAAATTATTTCTGCCTGAAGGATTTCTTTTTCTCTTATGCTTTTTAAACCTCATTGAGACTGCTTTTGTTTTTGGTTTCTGCCGTAAAAGACAAATATAAGACTTCACAATTCAGCTGATGTGCAAGAAACTCATGCTTAACATTAATTTCCTTTTTTCAGAAAACAAATGAGTTTTTAGTTTTATAAGTCTATTATCTCCCTGTTTTTGTAGATTGTTTTGTTTCATTTTTAATATCAAAGTAAGTGAATTTACTTTAAGAAAGCCAAGCACTTGCAATTAATCTAAATTAGTTTACAGTCTATCGCATAAAAAACAGTATGGCAGATTTCTATGGTAATGGTGTTGATTAGAAGAAATATTTGAACATTTATTCCCTCATTTTCTACAGATGTTAAGAGAGACCGTATTTATTTTTCTTACTCTGTAGGGATATGCTGTTATGTTTTTTACAAAGACATTTTTTTAAAATGCATATTACAAGTTCGATTAAAGGTTTTGATAGACTAACTTGTCTAAAAGGGACATAATTACATAAGAAAATGTGTTAGTATTTACGTGTTGGATGTTTCTCAAGTTTGCTGAGTGGAAAAAATGGAAAATAAGACGATTTTTTTTTTTAATGTTCAAGGTCTCTAAAAATTGAGAAAGCAAAAAGGGAAAAGAATTTACATCCCACTGCTACTTAGTTTAGCATTTTTCATTTCTATACCTTTTTTCATGCATTCAAATAACAGATTTTTCATTTATATTTTTTTAATGGCAAACCTCTTATTGAATATACTTGAAATGGACAGAAGTAAAAAATAAATCAATAAAAAATATTAATTTTCCTACATAGCACCAGAACTTGTGACTTATATCCCAATTGTAAAGTTATGGGAGAATATAATTGTTAAATATTAAGAGAAAACATTTTTATTTCCTAAGGCCCAGCAGCTACTAATGTATTGATGGTGAAAGCATAAGTAACAAAAAGGCTTGGTGTGGTAGATGAACCAATATTAGAGGTTATCATGAGTGTTTACATCTTTGAGTTGACAAAGTCCATTTAAAAATAATATGGAAACAATTTTGTTCAATTTTATCCATATCTTTTAAAAACCTAAAACCAAATTTTATATTCTACATGTATTTTTAAATTGTATAAGCTGGTTTGAATCATTCACTGCAGTGTTTATTAAAGAAATAATACTCACAAAAACATTGAGCTGGTGGTATTTATTGTTTTTGATTAAGAACCATTTACTGAACTAAAATACAGTATTTGTAAGTGAGTTTTTTGCCCCCTATAATCTGTTTATATCAAGACCGTTATCGAGGAACACAAATAACTTCTCTTTCAAATAAGCTACTATTATATTAAACGCTTAATGTTATTGTGCCACTTTATTGGACAAGTAGATTTTCGGCAACTGTTGTGATTGGCTCACTGTAAAGTTGTAACACTTACATGGACCAATGAAATCAATCCACATCTTGATACGACAAAAATAGGACGCTTCTATTACAAGAAGGACCACCTGTTTAATCTTAGCTGTCCTTACGTTTTGCCGGTATACAAAATATAGCCATTAAGATTCTATCAACATTAAATAACTTCAGTTGTTTTAATTTTTAACGAATCAGTTTGAGTTATAAATGTGTGAAAAAAACAGGCTCCCACTGATTAAAAAAATATTTAGGTTATAAATGTACTAGCGTTCAGGCTAAATGGAGATCCTCCGGGGTCCTGATATATTTTTCGGCAGGATTTATTTTTTAATTTTACATCAAGTGGTCGCTCAGTAAAAACACGAATTGCCACTCCACAGTTGGTTTACTTTTTCTGTGCTATTCTGTTTTAAATGCTCTTTTTGTCAATTGAAGATTAATAATATTAAACATGTTAAAATAGTTAGCTGTGATGCGCCTAACAGGCTAAGTGGAAAAACGGACCTGTGAAGCTTTGGTACCTAACGGTCGCTGTGCTGTAGCAGGAATACCAACAAAAGTTTTATCACGAAGAGGAAATTAAGTAATCAAACAGCTCTCCCCAGCGGTTATAGTGGAGCGGGACGCCGGTGTAAGGGCTGTGGGGAGCGGAGCGGTGTCTGTGAACCTGCCCGGGCTGGTGGAGGATAGCATGGCTGGGGGAAAAGGAGCAGGGAAGCCCGTCTCGATGTGGGACAATATGAGGATACGCTTCATTGTTTGCTTCTTTGGAGTCTTCGTGTGTTATTTTTATTACGGTATACTACAAGAGACGATGTAAGTAGCTAGCAGCTGTCTGCTTAGCAAAATGACACAATTGTTGACAATGATTTAACAGTTAACAGTCTGCTCTGTGGTTTCTTGGAGTTTATGGTATCTGGCAAGATTTTAGATTCTTCTAGCTTTGACCCAATGAAATATATAATCTTAAAAGGTTTAAAATCTTCAATACTTAGGATTAGGATTCCAATGGCTCTTTTATCAACAACAAATTTTGGTCCCTCTTTGTCTATTTAGACTTTTCTGTTAAGCAGGGGTGGAGAAGTACTCAACAGTAAAAGTACTGATACAAAAAGTAAAGGTTAATCTGTCAAACGTCTACTCAAGTTAAAGTATTGAAGAAACTACATTTGAAAATACTTAAGTATTTAAAAGTTCCTGCATTTAAAAAAGCGTAACTATTCAAAAATAGAAATAACACATTTTAATATCAGTCCATGTCTGCAGAATTTCCTGAGTAATTTTAAAGAACCTTGTAACTTTCAGAAACCACCTGATGTATTGATGCATAGAACCATCTGCTACAGATTCTAAACCACCTGTAAAGGACTTTAGCATAAAAAAATCCACAAAAAAGGAAAGCTACTGTGATTGTTATTTCTTATTTAAAACCATAAAGAAAACAGGAATGTTTTGATTCTCCTCATGCTTTCACTGTGGAATAGAGGTTTAAGGTGTATAACCAATTACCACAACTCCAACTCTGATCTGAGAACTCATCCTACTGAACAACGTGGCCAAATGGCAATAAACTTAAAGTAGTATCTACCCTCTCACATTTATAAAATGTCATGCAAATCTCAAATGCAGTACTGTCAAAGATCAGTCCTGCGCTCTGCTATCTCCAGAAAGAAAAACCGCAACAATGGATTGCAAAACTAAGCTGAGCCAAAAGGAACAAGTAACTAGCAGCTTCCTCGAAATGTAGTGGAGTTAAAGTTATGTTTCAAATACATATGTATGGAATTTTACAAAATTTTGTAACTTTTATCTAACATGCTTTTAGATATTTTTGTAGCGGTCAACAAAGCACTAAGTTTTAACAATTTTGAATAGTTTTCTAGAAATATGTCAAACAAGGGAACCTCGGTTTTTTATCTATTTCACACCTGGTGTGTTACCCATGAGGGGGCCACAGATCATATCAGATAATACATAGTTTTTGCAATCAGTGTTGGTATTAGACACTGCTGGCATCACTAGTCCTGTAGTCTTTGGGATCAGTCTAAACTGAAACCTCCAAAACAGGTGGTAAATAAATTTAAAAAAATTATTTATTTTGTAAAGTTTTTTTTATAATGAAAGTTGTTTGTCCATGCTGGTCAGTTTTCTTTTAGTGGTGTTTTAAGCAGTCCTTCCTTCAGCCCTGTTTGTCTGACTCTTGCAGCACAAGAGGGAATTATGGTGGAGAGAAGTTTACTTTTGCACGGACGTTGGTCTTTATCCAGTGCATCATCAATGGCATTTTTGCTAAGATCTGTAAGTATCTGGCTGCAAAGCTGTTGAGCAAGTAACCAACACTTCAATCTTGAAATGATCATCCTGTAGTTTTTCAAAAGAAAAAAATGCATGTTTTGTGTCTTCTTATAAACAGTGATCCAGTTTTTTGAAAGCTCCAAAGTGGATCATACTAAGAGCTGGCTCTATGGCCTCTGTTCCCTCTCCTATCTTGGAGCGATGGTTTCCAGTAACTCTGCTCTTCAGTATGTTAACTATCCCACACAGGTGAGTTTTCTCTATTAAATATACTACATTAAGAAACTTATTATTATGTTTATTTTGTGCATGAGTTATGTTTGTGGTTACCCTAAAGCAGGATATTTATTGTTCCAGGTGTTGGGGAAGTCCTGCAAGCCCATCCCAGGTATTTTCAGTCTATTATTTTATAACACACAGCTGCTCATGTGAGTTTAGTAGCTTATTTCAAAGCTTAGCACTCAGCTGCATGAAAGGTCCATTAATAGAAGGCGCCTTCTGTATGCAGTAACACATTGTTCCATATTTTTGATTGCATCATAGATGCTATCTATGCCTTGAAAAAATGGTTTGTGTAACGCTTACAAAGTCAGTTCTACTGCTTAGTCACTGCAGAGCAAGTGGAGCTGCAGACATTTAGTTGTTCTGTGAAACTCTAGTCTGAAGATCCTCTGGGATGCTTTTTCAGTATTTATTTGTACACAAACCTCCCATCCAATTACAATGATTTTAAATTTTTTTTAAACTTTAAATAAAAAAAAAAAAAAAAGACATTCTTCATTTACTTTATGGTCAGACATGAACATTTTGAGATGTGTGACACTAATGACAAACAGGACAACATTTGAAGTTACAGTAAAGCTTTAATCCTAAAAGACCTGATGCAACTGCTATGCACGAAGATGGCATGATTATGGTGTGAGACTGTTTTAGCAACGATGAGTAGGTATACTGCAGATCCACCCTGGAGCAGTGTTCCTTCAAATTCTTTATATTCCCTTTAAGTTTCAGGAGTCTATGTTTAAAGAATGACAGGACAGTAGTCTCCAAAGCAACCCACAAAATAAATCCAACTAAAATGATGCTTTCAGATAAGAATTTGTTTACTATGGTTAAAAGCAGAGTTCATGCAAAGAAGCTAACCTATTTAAATGAGCCCTTGGAAAGAAGAATAGCATGCCAGGAGCTAATGGCTACAGAGAACTTTATCTTCAGTGATTAACTTGCTATGGAAGAAATGTCAATGGGGAACCAGTGAGGATCAGGGCAAATCATCAATACATCAAACTTATTTACATTTTTTTTAAACATGATTGACCCAATGAGGAGAAATATCAGTTCAAAATAATAAGGATTAGTGCATCGCGGAGTGATTTAAAAATTGTTACAGAATAGTATTTGTCGTTGTGCTGTTTATTTTATTTGCAGCATGGCCCACATTTTATACCCAAGGTCCAAGGCCAGATGTTGTGTCAGGAGTAAAAGTCAAATTCTTTCTTGTTTCTTTGCAGTGATGATTCTCGGTGTAACAATACTAAGAAAGAAGTATCCGCTGGCCAAGTACCTGTGTGTGCTGCTGATTGTTGGAGGTGTTGCTATGTTTCTCTACAAACCTAACAAGGCCTCAGCTGTTACTGATGACCATATTTTTGGCTTTGGAGAGATTCTGCTTGTGAGTAAACATGCTGATTAGAACATCTGTTTGAATCTCCCATCTTCCGATCAATGACTTCTCTTTTTTATTTTTTTATATATTTTGTTTGTCATTCTTCTTCTTTTGTTTTTTCTTCATCATAGTTGGTTTCTTTGACACTGGATGGACTCACTGGTGTCGCCCAGGACCACATGAGGGCCCGCTTCCAGACCGGAGCCAACCACATGATGCTGAACATCAACATGTGGTCCACCCTGGTTCTGGGACTGGGTGAGTCAGTGGCTCTCTCTGCCAAATGCACATAGAGTTGAATATTCACCACTGTGTGCCAGGAGCATTTTCACAGATTTTTAATATCCTTCCTGTGGTCAGGGAGCAGCCACTAATGAGCAGAATCACCTTGTTGTTTTTCAGTACTGCCAACATACAGCAGACTAAACACCAATGGTGGTTCATTTTAAGTGTGCATATTTGAAGAGAGTTTCTTTCTCAAAGTATATCATTATAAACTCCTCTTAATAAGCATTTTATAGCTACTTTTATGGATAAAACGATGTAGATGCAAATAAAGTCAAACTTTATTTTAACAGTTTTGGGTTTGACAACTTATCAGGCTCAGACTTGTTCTTTAAAACATTTTCCCATTAACAGTTAATTGTTTTAGTTGCTATTTATATAACGTTTCATTTTCTCAAGATCGATACCAATGTGTATTTTTTTTTTTTTTTTATTAAATGAGCTTCTGCTTTGTTGCAGCAGAAAGCAGTAATTTATATAAACAAGAACAAAACCCTAAATGGCTTCATTTCATGTATAACGTGGGAGCAGAATTTTCTCTGGTGCAGAACTCATTAAGTCAGTGTTGAGTTTTATCTTTATAGATAAGACAGAAAGTCTTCACATCAAAGCCCTGGATTCAGTAAGAAAATCACTGTAATCTTTTTTTTTTGTTTTTTAGATAAAAGACTAAAACTAATAAAAAAGAGTCAATTCAATAAATGTAAGGCATCAAGTACACCTTCCCATGGTAGACGTATGGAGAAGATTGCTTTAAAGTTTAAACATTTACTTTAGGCGAAGGATTGTTTTCTTGCACATGCACTGAAAGTTATTTTAAAAATGGCAATACTGATGCCAGTTTAAACATCCGAATGCATCATTTTATGGTTACAAAAAAAGTAGACATACACAAGACAGTTGGATCTAATTTCTTTCTAGTTTTCTTTTGTTTTAGAAGATTAAGTAACTGAGTGAGCATTATCTAAACAGCTGTGATTATAAGACTGAACTGTGTTCTCTAAATCTTTTGTAATATTTTATGCCTCAGTGATTTCTTCCTTTATAACATGTTGGCATTTCATCATGAATGGATCAAAACAATGACATTCTTTAAATCATTGCTGCTGCAATATTTAAAGCAGTGTTTAAAACTAATAAAGAAACAAATTATTCAACTTTGCTAAATAGAACAAGAGTGAAGAAAAATGTTTTTGTAGTCAGTTATAGATGTAAACCATCTAGAACAACAAAATTGGAAACAAGTCACCCCCTTTTCTTATGTTAGAAGAAATATCTGGGACTCCTTTTCTAAGATATCATTTTCTGTTTTCTTCTTACCTTCATTAAGTTTATTGCCTGTTTTATTTCTTGTCGGAGATAAAACAATCTCACACAAAAATTTATTGCCTTTCTCAGTACTTCTGTTTGGTCTTTCTAGGGGCTTTCCAAATGTTTGTTTTAATGTTTTTAAATGTTTGTCTTTAAATGTAGGCTTTTTTATTTGTTTATTTTTATTATACTGAAAGCATACATTACAACAAATATTTTACTTTCCAGAGTTGTTCAAAACTTGTATCCATTTTAACCAACCGTGTTTTTCCAGCTAAGTTCTGCAGATTCTGGATCTGAGGCCTGACGTCTGCAGATATATTTACTGTACATTTCTGCTTAATTATACTTCAAACATTGGATTAAAAAGGATTGAGGGATTCGTCAATTTAAACAGCGCTACCTGTTTTTATGGTATCAAACCACTTGGGGGTGCTGTTCAGTGATTTCATGAAGGCAGATACATTTTTTTGTTGTTGAATATTTTTAGATGATAATTGGTGAAAGATTATGAAATGGCATTGATGAAATGTTCGCCTCCATCCTCAGCTGTGCTTTGGACGGGAGAAATCTGGAGTTTCCTGAGTTTTACAGAACGTCACCCCAGCATATTCTACAATATTCTTCTGTTTGGACTGACAAGCGCTTTAGGCCAGGTGAGTATAATGATGGGAGGGAAAACTACTGGACATGTTTAAACCAAGCTGTTTTAGAGAATAAAACTTTGCTATATTTTGCTTTCTTCTCATTGTCTGCAGACCTTTATCTTTATGACTGTGGTGTACTTTGGGCCTCTGACCTGCTCCATCGTCACCACCACCAGGAAGTTCTTCACCATCCTTGGTTCTGTTATTTTGTTTGGAAACGTGATGACAGAGATGCAGTGGATTGGCACTATTCTGGTTTTCCTAGGTAGGAAGATTTGATGTAGAGCTTTAGTTATTTCATTACATCTATTGTGGGAAAACTTGCCAAATGCACCTAAAGTAGATTTAAATATTCAATTAACTGCTTTAGTTTATGTGTGTTTTTAATCATCACTAACGTCTTTGCTTTTCTTTTTTTTAGGTCTTGGATTGGATGCGAAATTTGGCAAACCCCCTAAGAAGCACTAAAGAACGTAAAATATGAAAGAGCAGTAATGGAAAGCATTAAAATAAAATGTAAACATACTGTAATAAGTAAAATATTTTCTTAGATAACTTATACATAAGTAGCTATTTGTGTTTGATGTATGGTCAGAAATTTGAATGAGTTGTCAAAGTTAGCAGCTCCTGACGAACTGAAGACAAGGGTGCTCTGATGACCAAGGGCCAGAATGAATTAAGATGAGCTAAAGCTCCTAAATATATCTAAATATATTTTAAAAAATAAAAATAAAAAAAACTGCCACCTCTTGTGCATTTTTAGCATTTGACCATAAGTTGGCTTTTTCTTTTAAGATAAAGGCTGGAAAATGTTTTCATCAAAAGAAGTTTACTACTTGGAAAAAAAGGAATCCAGAATTTCAGAAAAAAAATGTAAATGTTTCATGTTGTGTCCGATACTCATTAATTGTGTTTATTTTATATGAGATGAAAACAACTTGTCATAAAGGGAAATTGTTATAAAGCACTGTTTCCCATTTTTTTTCTCTCAATCCAAAGAACTTCAACACAAACCTTTAATCACTTGAAAAGATGCATTTTCGCCCTAGACAAATCATTGTGTCAACATTTTTTGATAAAGAGAAATATCCAAATATGTACAGTAGCTGATCGTATGATAGGATAAGATGAAAAAGATTTTTCTTTTTAAGTTGAACAATTAAACCTGAGAAATAATGAAAACATCAAATTCAGTATCTCAGAAATATTTAATATTGTTAAAAGGGTATATATATATATATATATTGACCACTGACACCTTTCAATTTTTCAAGAGTGAATTGGCTAAGAGGGCTGCAAGAACATAAAGCAGTAAGAAAATCATTACAACAATCGTGCAGAACTTCCAAGAGAAAGATGTAAAACATTTCCATAAAATATCCAAATAGAAGCAGTCACACTGACTAATAGTATTAATTTCATGTTCCTTTACAATTAATTTTAAATTTTCTCAGTGCAATTAGATCAATCAAGTCCTTTCAAATTATGAGTCAAAGTCTAAAATTTGATTTTGGAATATTGGCAGGTCTACAGATTGGTCTGTATGGCAGGATAGGAATCATGAAAATTAATATTTTAAACTATTTTTCCTTTTTCATTCCCTAACAATTGAAATTCCCCAGGAGCAGAGTAATGACTGACACAGAAGAATATCACAATTTATTTGGCAAAGTAAAAAAACCCAGAGAAATATTTAAGACTATATTTACCAAGAGACCAAGGTGGACTGTCTTTACCCTGTCCTGTCTAGAGGATCACTACAGTGCAACACAGCTTCAGTATTTGGTTAAACAATGTGACAACAGATATGAAGCAATCTGCAAAGATGTGGGACAATTGGAAATAACCTACAGGCTTTACATTACTTTTCAAAATGAATTTCAACAGTAAAGAAACAGCAAGTACACTTTGCTATTAGCTTACATTATTGCTATTGACAGATAAGCAGGTCTCTGGGTGCATCAGATCGTAAATCCCTGTTTCTTATTTGGACTATGTTATATTAGATGTGATGTCATTCCCAGATTTAACTGCTGAAATCCCAGTTAAATACAAATTAAGGAGAAAGCAGCCAATGTTTGAAGGAGTAGTAGTAGTAATTTCTTTACATGACAAACCTTATTTCCCCATTCAATATGACATCTATTTTGTACATTTCAACTTATTAAAAACCAAAGTGAGGAGGAAACCTCATAACTAAATTTGTTTAAGACAAAGTAAAATTGCCATTAATTCAGCATCCCACATTATGGCTAGATAAAGTTTGTCCTATCTACCTTTCAAAAATACTCAAAATCTATTAGATTGTGAGGACATGGCCCTATTTTTTTATTAATTTAGTTTCTAATCTTATGATAAAACCTCAGTTCCTTCTGAATCAAAGGAGAAAGATGCTGCAACCGAAATGTTTTACTCCAGGAATAGTTTAGTTGATACTCAGTGCTGGAGACTGCTACACTTTTGTTCCAAACATTGTGTAATTGCAGCCCAAAACTTTACCATAGACACATTTCCTGTTAAGGTTTTGTGAAAAGTGGCCTACATGTTGTATAAGGAAACAAAGGCTTCTGAATCACAACATTATTCTTTATCCTTATGATATGGAGAAAACATATGCTAAGTATGGCCTAAAGAACCATATTTACTTTATACTGGCCTTGTGACAGGATCCTATATTTCCTGTGATTTTACATAAAAAGACATTTTTTATAATGTCATTATTTACCATATTTTATAAGCCATTGATGGTTATCTGCACTCACAATACATATTTCTAAACAGGTATTAAACACACATATATATATATATATATATATATATATATATATATATATATATATATATATATATATATATATATTTAGCCCACAATAGAATAAAGGTTATTATATAATTTCTATATAAGTGACTTCGTTAGTTGAGTTACTGAAATACTTTCCCATAACATTCTTAATGAACCAGTCTTCAGTTTGGGTAAAAAAAAAAAAAAAAAAGAATTAAGCCGGTTGACCTCAATTATGCCTGCATAAAAATCCGCTTTAACAAAAGAACTAAATCATGTTAATTAAATGACCAAAAAAATAATCTATTGTTTTTTTTATATACATAAACTTCAGATATGATCTTGAGGCGATACATAATTTTTTTACAGAATTTTTAAAGTGAACATTTGTGGGGAAATATTCATGGCATCCCTGTAATGTCTCATCGTCCTTCTTCCGCCCTGACGAACTGTTAAGGTGAGGACAGTTTTAGCATATCTTCACATAAGCGGTTGTTTTTTCGACACAAAGCGGACTTTCCAAGCCTAAGAATGCTCCTTACAATCCGCAAACAGCTCAGAAGCCACCCCGCCGTGAGTATTGACAGCTTTTCCTGAGTTATGTTTCATTTTGTGGATTTTTTTTAAAAACTGGGTTGTTTTCTGAGTTTTTGTGGCTAACTTAGCTTAGCTTGCTAGACGACGAGTGTAGCTTGTTTTGTAACCCCAAACACGCTGCGTAAAAAATAAATAACTAATAAAATTATATAATGTGAGATCGAGAATTTCAGCCTTTTGTGCCTTTAAGATGAAAATTGGAAACAATGTTAAAAAGTCGTTAATGGTTAACCAGAACGACAAACCAAGCGTCACATTGCCCTGAAAGTCTTTCTATTTGACTGCTAGCCAGTTTTGTAACTAGTTATCATTAATATACATATATTTACATGTATATACGTTTTTTTTATTTTGTAGTTTATCTTATTTAGACCATTTCCAGAGAAATATATTTTTAGATTTTCCCAAATGTAATTTTTTTTTCCATCTGCCACTCTTCTAACCTCTTACTCTTACATATCAGTTAAATAGATTTTGTTCCGTCTTCTTCAATGTTTTTGAATCTGTAGATGACTGCTGTAGAGCTGTTGTTTTTAAAGAAACAAAAAAAAAAATAAAAATCATGCAATCTTTAATTTAGTTTAGGTTTGTTTGCCAGTGCAAGGCTTCTTCATCTATTCTTTATCCATTTTACTTCCCTAGTAGAAAGGTTGTTTAAAGGGAATTGTAACTTTTTTTTTTTGCATATTTAGACCATTATCTGTTAGACTTTTAAGGTTTCATAAAAGGAATGTCAAATGTTACGTGTTTTCAAAGCAGTGATGACCTACCTGTTTGTGCGTGCTACTGTTATTAATGTAAATGTTGGTTCATGTTCTCAGTAGTATTTCTGTTCTCTTACAGCTGATTCCCCTTTTCTTCTTCATTGGTGGAGGAACCACCATGTCCCTGCTGTACCTGGCTCGTCTGGGCCTGAGAAACCCTGATGTTTCGTAAGCACTGTTGACATTAAATAATTTAAAAAATGAATGTCTATGACCTACAGTGGCATTCTCAGTAAACCTATTGTCACCTGTTCTGTCTGCTCCACAGTTGGGATCGCAAGAACAACCCAGAGCCTTGGAACAAACTGAGTCCAAACTACCAGTACAAGGTGTGTTTTAAATGTAAATAAAAGCACCATAATATAGGGGTTGTCCACCATATGAAACTGCTGAGACTTTGGAATAACAGTATGTAAGAGGTTTTATTTGACTTAGCCTGTGGATCAGTGTCAGAGGTGCTGTAAGTCTTTGTATAAGTCTTTAAAATGGATTAATTAAAAGCACATAATCTAGTTAATGCTGACCAAATCTGATAGACTTAACCCAAGACTTAAAATAGTTTTTTTTTTCTTTTTTGCTAAAAAGATGTACTTAATATTAGCATGAATAAACAAATGCATGATTTGTTGGTTTATGAAAAGTGTTGAAGCTAAGATTTGTTTTTCTTCAGTTCTTTACAGTAAACATGGACTACAGCAAACTGAAGAAAGATCGCCCAGACTTCTAAAGGTCAAATCTGCTGGGAGAAACCCACAACAATCAGCAAAGCCGCACATTGGGTCTTATCTTGAATTTTCTGCGTCCAGGGAAAATGCAGAAGCTAAATCCGCACAGCTCATCTTCCAGTTCATTGCATCCCTGGCTTCTTTATTTCTACTTATTAATAAAGTAAAGGAGTATTTTCTCCTTCATACAGATCACCTCATCTGGTTTTTTTTTGCTTATTTTTTTTGTGCACCACTTCACCTTTTTGTGTATATATATTTGCATTGCTGCATCACTTTTTCCATCACGTTAAATGTTTTTGCATCCTTTGTCAGCATTCACTATATCCACTTTGCTTTCACAAATGTACCTTTGCCCTCCTGTGACCCAGCTACTGTGCAACTATTTCACAGCATTCTTGGCTGCTCTCCAGGACGTCTGGGTATCGCTGACCTTGTCTCAACAGATGGCTCTCTCTGGTGGCAGCTGTTACTCTACAGACTAATCTCCAGCAACAAAAAACTTAAAGCCATTTATAGGGCAGTTGGTCAAATACTTTAAAAATAAAAATTTCAAGCCAAGTGTGTTATTGGATGACAGGGCAAGACCTTATTACTTTTGTAACATTCAAAAAAAGTGTATATTTTCATGGCAAAATGAAGGTCAATGTTATAACAACAATCTGCAACTTGCCCTAGTATATTAAGAAATTCATGAAAAACTGAAAGGAACATGTTAGTTTTTTTGTTATAACAACCTTGGAACATTGATGTTACAAGCACTTACATTTTATACTTTTAATTTAGCTTATTAACTTTAGCTTTTCACTTAGCTTTTTACCTTTTTTTAAGTTAAGTTTTGTTTTTCCAGCTTAAATTATGGTAGGTAATATATCATTTGTTGATCAAATGCCAAATTTGCAGCCATGTAGCATTATCTTTGAATGGCTGGATATAAATCTTGTGCTTCTAGACCTCACTGACTGGGAGAAACTACATTTGTGAAGGCTATGCAAGAGATCAGACATGGTACTTTGCCCTATAAAGGGTTAAATTGAGGAATTTTTCTCTTCTATCATCTGCTGTTGTCAAAAAAATTAGGAGCTTTACTTTTTTTTTTATGTTTAAAACAATGCTTTCCCTATAAACCGGAGTGTTGCAGAGTTCCAGGACTTTTTTTAGTGAGGCTGCTGGAGGTGTTTCTGATTATAAAACGTTATCGCCTTGAGGCACATGAGTTTGTAAATGTCATCGGGTCGTGCTGTTCCTTCTGCGGCTTGGAGAAATGCGAGGAGGATGAGCAGCCAGTGTTGTGCAGAAAATGTCAAGGAGAACTTCATATTTGAATAGTGTCCCACCTCTGAATCTTAAAGGCCCTCTCTCTACCTGGAGCACACTCGAATATTTTAATATATATATATTTTTTTTACTTTGAGGGGAAAATAGAGATTAGGTTCTAGCACAGAATATTACACTTTTCATTTTGAAACTTTTTTTGAACTCATCCTTTTTACTGAGATTTCACTGTGCGTACCAGGTACTATAATAAGCTCAGTGTCTTGAACAGGAGAGAAATGCGCCTTTATTGTACTCATTTATCTCTCAAGCGATTTTAATTAAAAGGTAAATGTTCTCTAGATTGTATATGCAAACAACCTAATTTTGAGACGGGTTTTAATAACTAATAAAAATAAAAATAAAAAACAACAAAATACTTTGAAGCAGTTTAAATGTTTACAATTTTGTGCCAATTTTTGTAAATCTTTGTTTTATTTTACTTTTAATTAAATCTGGATTTCACACAGTATTTCTTGTCATGAGTATAGATGTTTGCTTGTCAACATAAATGTCTTTGCTGAATGCTTAATTTAACCCTAAGGCCAATCGTTCAGGTAGACAGGAATACATATCTATATATTTATAGATGTATATATATGAAAAACACTATAGTTAAATTAAAATTGCCGCCTTTTCCTTGTAAAATTTGCAATTTTAATTTGCTATTTCAGTGGTACAATGCCATGTTAACAGATGACTACTAAAGAAAGCTGTTTTGTGTTTATGAGCCCACTATGATCATTTAGTTTGACAACTAATTCTGAGTTTCCAACTGCTACCAACATATTTGTTTTAAAATGCTCTGGTATAATAGAAGTTCATGACAAACACACATAATCATCAGCTTTAAACTTTGCTTTGCAAACCCACCAAATTGTCTTACCAAATCACAAGTGTTCCAGTTAATTTTCTGGCTGTGGTTGTTTTGCTGGAACAGAAAATAACTTGCTGTAGTCCACCCAAATGACATAGCATGTAGGTGGTATCTAGTTCCAAAATGATTTGTTTTTTCGTTTGATTATGTTTTCTAGTGTTCAATGAAATTTAATCTAGGGATCTCATCCAGGCTTGTGGTCTGAAGAAAAAGGCCCATGATGATGTATTTCTAACCTCAGGGGAGATGAAATCATTGATTTGTACTGCAAAAAGTCCAAGGCAGTAAAATAAAACACGATTTGTTCCTATTTCCCCTAACTAAATTATTATGGCTGATGATAAACCTTAAAACTAGCAAAAGTAGATACTTAACTTTTCCCTAATTGAATCTCCTCAAATTATTGGTTTGTTTAAAAGGTGATTTGAGCTGTTGCTATTGGAGTAAGAGAGTAATTTTAAATGTTTTCAAACACCTTTGTCAGGTGTGCTCAGATTTCAGGGCAGACATCTTAGAAATCTGAGTTTAGCAGGCATGGATTTGAATCCCTAGATCAAGTTACAGTTAGACCTGTTGGCTTGTGCAGAAAAGTTTTCCATCTGGAATAATTGCTTGTTAGTACTGGAGTCGTGTACTCAGACCCATCATTACTGTTAGAGGAGTTTCCCAAATCATCAGTTTTTGACTGGCAGCTAAGGGGTTGTAAGAGTTCAAACAGCTTCACAGGCATAAAATCTCTGAGGAATAGATTTGATTGCAGCTGTGGAGCCAAATTGGCCTGCATCCTTACCCAGTTCTGCAGACCCCTGAGCACTATGATGAATCAAGCTCTTGGGTGCTCCTCTGCAAAGAAACCTTGATAAAGCTAAGCAAAGAAATGTGAGAAAATAAAAAACTAAAGCATCCCACATAATGATAGTTGGTAAAAGCATTACCACAGGTCAGAGAATAAAATAGAGCACGGAAAGTGGTGTGATTCTGTATTCTGGGCTAATCCCCTACCTGTCTGGCATCTTTCAGAAATTATTACAAACAAGTTTTATGGTTTTATAAAATAAACTCAAAGAGAAATCCCTCAGAAAGATTTCCCTTCCAAGTATATTTTATAGCGTTTAGATTTTATTCTAATGACCCACCTCTACTCTTTGCCCTTGACTTAAATACAGCCTGATTTAGTTTTTTCTGCATCCCATTTCTTAATATAATTCCTGCATATTTGATTTACGAAAAGTTAACATTCTGATATTCAGATAGAATCGTGCACTCTGATACACATAGGGCAGTTCATTTTAGTCAGAAAGTCGCTGATGTCTGGATAATTTGGTGATAAAATGTCACCAGGAATAAAAAAAACTTTTTTCGGTTTGACTTTTCAGCTTCATCCCTGTTTCTCCAAAAACTCAACACAGATTTTTAGTGATATTGACGAGTAGCTGTAGCTTTTTATCCACAGTCTTCGTCTTTGAACCCCAACATAAATCAGTGGCTCTACATCTACTTATATCAGCTTATGGTTTGCAATACCTTTCTTTATCCAAAAGCATAAACTGTGTAAGTCTGCATGGCTCCAGACATTAAGCCAATTCAGTGTCAAAAAAGGTGAGATATTTCCTTTGCACTGGAACAGATATGAAAATAATCAGCTCAGGTTGTAAGCAGTATAATTAATAATAAGGGATTCTATAAATGTTAGAAATCGGAAGTGACTGTAAAAAAATCCCCTTCTCTGAAGTTTATTTTCTTTAATTTCACATTGCAAATCAATGTAAAGAGAAAAAGCAAAGTCAAATTCTTAGAAAAGTTAAACAAAATGTGTCTTCAGGTTTCTTCCCAATTACCTCTTTACTTTCCTTCAGACTGAGATACCAACATGCTTACAAATGCATTTCTAAAGGAATAAACTACTAAACCTCCTTCTTTGAGCTGTGCTAAGTAAGAAAGTTAGTCCTTAAATCTTTGAGTCCCACAAAGTTTTTAAATCATCCTTCTTTGCTTTTTCTGCTGTGTGAGCTTTCCAAATCCAAGTTCATGGACAGAAAACAAGAGTTTGATGTAGAGGTTCTGTACCAACCGGATCTTATTGATCCTTGAGCCTGCTAGCTGAGGATGACAAAGTGGATCGACAACAAGCACACAAAAAGGTCAGGGTTGTCAATGTATTTTTGCATGAGGGATTGAGCATGGATGCTGCAATTTAAGAGCCATTTCAAAAGGAATACCACAGGAATTAATCATCTCTGATGTCTCAGGGACAGAAAGGCAGCGTGAACGTGGTTTATGTGGCGTTCCAGGGTATGCATCACTTACTTTGGGGCCAATTCAGCACTGGACTGGCTGGATGGCTGGAGACTCATTGTCTCATAAATACAAGGTTTCAGGTTTGATCCCTGAAATAGACAATGAGACTTGTCCTTGAGTAAGACAGAGAAGCCCTGAGGACATACTGTCAGCAAACGTCTGTAGAAAGAAAAGATGTGCAAGTAAAGTGTGATTAATGTGATTGTTCTACCAGGGTTTTACAAAGAGACATAAAAAAAACAGAAACATCATATCCAACTTCCCATCGTCCCTGGCATCTCAATGTAAACTGCTGTTCCTTTTTTTTTGCATCCATCGTAGAAAAGCAGGTCAAAATTTAAATAGCTGAAAATAGAACATCTGGCAGGGCCTTGTCAGTCAGCAGTGTGTAATGAAATATGGAAATTGGGGCGCTCTTCAAAGAGATGCGGGCCTTTCAGTGCTGTCCTGGGTCTCCAGCATGCCCGTCAACATCCCTGGCGGAGCCCCGCCCCTTCTGAAACGTGTGCTACATTTCCAGGTGCTGCCGCTGTGGCCCCCGTCCACCACCAGTGCCAGCTCATTAGCGCTCAAAGCCTGGTGGAGCTGGCAGCTGGCATCATTAAACATCAAACCATCTTTCGACCCAGGGTGCCGCCATGGGGAGAGACCGCCGGCTAATCCGCCTGCCAACAGCTGATTAGAGCCACGCTGACACTAAAAAACCACATT